TGGCTCATTTTACAAAAAATGTTTGCAGATACAACAGCTACCTCCTAGTACAGTCTTTTGCCCTTGATAAGTCGATTCCGATGTGTATTGAAATGTGTAGTCCATCACAGTACTCGTGACAAGCAATTGCAGATACGGTGCCCTCCCCCCGGCCCTCCCTCCACTACAAAAGGTAAGTCTACTCCCTACCTTACTCAGTACTCTTCACACCTGTGCTGTACCGCTGTACGTGCCCGGAGCACTGTGCACGTGTGTCCGTCTGTTAACTGAACCTGGACTGATCCCAGCGCAACGTGAGCGGAATATAACCTGGCTCAGCAGGAAATGACCTCATCTATTCCCCGAAAGTGTTGGCAGCTCTGCAGACTATAAGTTCTTAAGGTAAATTGACCCTATAGAAAGCTCTTTAACATTAAACTAACAATAGTCAAATAAATCAAACATACGGAACTTGTGTAGAGCGTGGGTCTACAGGAAATCACGCCCACTTTTCTGCGAAAGTGTAGGTGGTTTGTCAAACTACTGTATTGATCTTGACGATAACATGGATTCATTGATTTCGCAGGAAGCCGAACCTTTGTGTTCCCTTTTCAGACGTCACACGTCCGACACTTGTAAATCTTCAAAGTGATTTTGAAAAGCCAATGGTACTGAGCTTACAACTTTACGCCTACTCCAACCTCCCCGAGTAGAATGAGTTTTCGCCCTTGTTTGCTTTGTGGGAAAGAAAGTGATCAAATCTGCTACCCTCTTTCTGTTGATACGCTCAGGGTAAAACATCCATTTAACGAGACGTGCAGTTGCCTTGTTGTGAAATTTAAGCCAGGCAGTGACTGGAGGGATGTGATTTCTGGGGATTTGGGCTCGAGTTTAAATATGTTCACAGGCTGTGCATTGGTTGTATCTGAGCCAAGAAACTGGCAGCTAGACGGGGATCAAGAGCGGCACATTTTCGGAATTTTAATTGGTCGCCCGTTTCAACTAACTCTACACTGGGATCAGCTTCACTAGCACGAGGTTATTCTCTGCCATGTCCGTCCGTCCATCCATCCAGCCAGCCATCCATCCATCCAGCCAGCCATCCATGTATAGTAAACAATGTCTACAAGTGTGACAAAGTCAATAATGCAAGATTGTTGACTTCACTGATTAAAGTTCTCTTGAGGAAACGTTAGAACTCGCACAGCTGTGAAATATCACCACTATTTGAGGAGATATTGCAAATATTTGGCACTGCACCAACTAAGAATCTGCATGTACAATCTGCAGACTTCATGGCAGCAAGCCTGAATACAATACAATATGCCTCAGGTCAGGAATTACTTGTGTGGGGGAGTGGGTTCAGGTACGGGACAGTGTCTGGGAGTGAGTACGTGTCCGTGACAATGTTTGTCTTTAATCTAAAGCTCCAAACGCATAACACAACTGGGGCATCGTCCAGTTGCTGAATTCATTTTACCACACACACGCACGACGCACGCACGCACGCACGCACGCACACACAAACACACACACACACACACATACACACACACACACACACACATACACACACACACACACACATTTGAACAACATAGCCACCTTGCATCAGGAATATGAATAACGTTCGCCCTTGAATTCTTGACTCCCAGTTTTACCAAGGGAGTTAAAATTTAACCTTGGTTTTACGATTGTTATCATGTATAGCGTCTACTTTGCACTTGTAAGCGAAAATGCGCGCCTGGAACTACATGGAACGCTGATGTATTTCCGGTGGTGTACTGAGTTTTGCCAGCAGTTTTATTTCCTCGTGTAAAGTTATTTTTCCCACGGAAAAGAAGCACGTGTTTCATTAAGAGTACCCGTTAGACACCCCTAACTGCTATATAGCAGCCCAGCCGCCAGAAAAAGGCTGTTCTTTTGTCAGTCACGCACACTGCGCGTCGAGCCTGCAATTACAAGCTGACGGTGACCAGTCGTACCATCTGGGACTAAACAGGTACACAAGTCTTTATTGTCTTTGTTGAATGTTAATATCTCTATCTGTATTGAGGTAAGCGTGCCACACACCACAGTTCAACGGCGTCAAAAGTGCACAGGAAACACATATGACGGCAGTCCCAGGGTGCCATGTGAGGCACCCAGAACTGCTGTTTTTTTTACTGCCTCAACATTGATATAAGTCGCAAACGGTTGACTATACTCGGTCAGAAAATAGTTTAACAATCATATTTTACGATCTTTTGTCTTTTATGAAGGACAGAATTTGCGAAAAATACGACTTTGCCAAGTTCGTACGGAGCGCCTGTCAGAACGTGGAGCGCCGATCCGGCGAAGATCGATATCGTTCATCTAACCCGTTCTGAAAATAAAGAAACAACACCCATGGCAAACTATCAACCTTTCAGTGGCTTAATGATCTTCAGATGTAATACTTGTGGTTTTTTTTCTCGTAAAGTTGTCTGGAATCAAAGCTTCAGACCCTAAAAACGTACCATCAAATGCCAATTACAACCTGTTACAGTTACGTCAATTGTCCGACAAATTCTATACGGCTAGTACGTAGTGGCCGGTAGCGCATTTTGCGGAGCGGACGAAAGCTAACAAAGCTGAATCAGGTTACATGCTATACTATTTGCGTTCTACATGTGTCACAAGGGGCCGGGGGTGTGATAATGTCTGTTTACAGAGTATTGAAAGAAACATGAATTCAATGAACGTCAATCAAAACGAACTTTAAGGCCTTCTCAGATACGATAGTCACAGAGCTGCCAACACTTTCGGGGAATAGATGAGTTCATTTCCTGCTGAGCCAGGTTATATTCCGCTCACGTTGCGCTGGGATCAGTCCAGGTTCAGTTAACAGACGGACACACGTGCACAGTGCTCCGGGCACGTACGGCGGTACAGCACAGGTGTGAAGAGTACTGAGTAGGGTAGGGAGTAGACTTACCTTTTGTAGTGGAGGGGGGGCCGGGGGGAGGGCACCGTATCTGCAATATATTGCTTGTGTGTGTGTGGTGGGG